CATCACCTTGCCCAGGACTGACTAACTCCTTCATAAAACGCTTAATTTGCAGGTATGTGTGGTGCTGAACATGTAAATCCTTGCTGAGTTTGAAATTTATGCTCGTTGTTATTTATGCTTCAGTAAGTCTCTCCCCTGGGGACTAAACAGTCTTGAAAAAATGAGCAGAAGGGCTAAGTGCTCTTCTGAGAAACAGCTCTTTTCTTGAAGAACAGGCGGCTCCTCAGGTGTATTAGGCACACAGTTCCTCGCTGAATACCTGACTTTCATCAAAATTAGCAGGAGTTAAGTGTCTACATCTCTCCTGAGCAGTCTGTTCAAAACGCAGTAGCTCGAGCCAGGGTAGAAGAAAGGAGGGATTTGGCAAGCATCCCGAGGGGTGACAGCAGGACTCTAATGCGCCTGTGGAGATGATGCCTAGACCCAGAAGGTGTTGAGGTGAGATCCTCCCAAACTCCCAGGATGGGATCTTGCTTATCCTCTCTAAATTCTTCAGAAAGGTGCTCTCCCAGTCAAGAGGTAGGGCCAAGCAGGGTCTGCCAAAGATGGCCAAGAGATCTTACTTCTTGTTCAATGTAGGTGGCTTTCTAAGTTGTCTCCACCTCTCCCACAACCACTGTGCATGTTCCTGGTAGGAGCAGGTGATGCGGCTGGAAAACATTGCTTTGTATTCCTCACTTCTCAGCAGCCCCTAAAAGGCTCAGGGTGAGATCCTTTTGTGCTAGGTACCGTACAGTCAAGGAAGATGACTCCGTGCCCTCAGGAGCACATAATCAGTTTAGACAACAGGCAGAAGGAGATAAAGGCAGTTTCCAAGCTGTGGTCTGGGGAATCTCATTCAGCAGTGCCAAATGAGTTCAGCTTCCATGTGAAGGGTCAGGGAGGAGGGTTTTGTACCAAAATGTGTTCTGTGTGCCTGCCCCACACACAAGTATAAATGACAATTCCTGAGAAGGAGCTGCTTTGCCTCACTGGATGTCTGGCTCGTGTTTTGCCTTCACCCCAACCCTAGAGGCACAAGTACTTTGACTTTCCAGCATGTTCCAACATGCTGAGATGGAAAGCAAACTGTTCAGCTTTGTATCCTGGGTTGGCTTTCTCTTCTGTAAGGGCAGGAGTGTGGGAGCAGCATGAAGCAGATGGATAAATGGTAGGGCACAAGGACTGCTCGAGGAGAGTTTGGGCCCAGCCTCAGGACTGAGGATGCTGCAGAGCTATTGCTTGCTTTGCAGGTGGCCACGCTGCCTGTGCATTCCCTCCTCTCCGCAGTTCCTCAGAAAGCTCCCTTGTCTGATCTTTATTCAATGATTCCAGGATTTCATTTGGCCTGCTTCTCAATGACTCAAGTGCTGGGATTTCCACTGTTTCTTTCCAGAGGTGTTTTTGTGGTCTAGAGGCTACTTAGCAATGTGAATCAACAAGTTTCTAGCTCTTACCAGAGCATTCCTTTTCATAGGGAATGGAAGCAGGGGTAATCCAAGCTGATTATAAATGAAAGTGTGTCGCACATACTATCCTAGGTAAAGGCCTGCAGGAACCTCCCCCTGAAGATGGTAATAGGAAGTTAAAATGATTATGAATTGTGTTAAATTTGATCCTCTAATAAAAAGTAACTTTTTTCTCTTCCCGGGGGGTTTGCAAACACCCCATTATCCCACCCAGGCAAGTCAGGAAGTATTACTGCTTCCATATCCTGGTACAGGCAATAGATAAGAGTTTAAGCCTTAGGCTGTGAAGTAAGTTAGTGTCAGGGTGTAGATCAAAGGATCATTAATTCAGTATCCAAACAGAGAGGTTAGGGAGGAAGAATTGCTATTCTCTTCCCCCCTCCATCCTGCTGCCTGCAATGCCAATGGAAACAGACTGCAGGGAGAATTGAACCTGCCTGCTGTGGGATGAGGGTGAGATGGATGAGGATGTGGCAGTACAAATGATTGCAAAAAGTTTGGGACCCTCTTATCATAGAAAAGTAGGGGACAGAGGGGATGCTAGAAGCCATTTTCCTGTACAGCAGCCTTATGCATCCTAGCTGCCTCCACAGAAATGACAAGCTATGGGATGACATGCCAAGGTTAGAAGGATGGGGTGCTAGCAACGGCCCTCACCCTGTTGCTCTGCGATGTGCTGGGTACACTGGAGCACACTTGAAGTCTTACAGAGAGGAGCCAGGGGCTCCTGGGGTAATAGGAGCCAGCAAGGAAACACTGGTGAAATACCTCAAAGGAATTAAGGCATGTTCCTCTAAAAAGGTGGCACGGCCAACAGCCCAGCTGAAGTGCCTCTACACCAATGCATGCAGCAACAGGCAACAAACAGGAAGAGCTGAAAGCCACTGTGCTGCTAGAAAGCTACAACCTAGTTGCCATACAACCTAGTTGCCGTTACTGAAACTTGGTTGGATGAATCCCACTGCTATCGATGACTGCAAGCTGTTCAGAAGGGACAGGCGAGGAAGGAGGGGGGGAGGGGTTGCCCTCTATGTCAAGAAATGGATAGATTGTGAAGAGCTGTCTCTGAAGAATAGCCGCGAGCTGGTTGAAACCTTATGGGTAAGAATTAGAGACCGAGGCAACAAAGGGAACCTTGTGGTTGGTGTCTACTACAGGCCGCCTGATCAAGGAGAGCCTATTGATGAAGCCTTCTTACTCCAGCTACAAGATGCATCGCACTCACAGGCTCTCGTCATGCTGGGGACTTCAGCCACCCTGATATCTGCTGGAAAAGTAGCACGGTGAGCTGTAGGCAATCCAGGAGACTCCTGGAGTGCATCGAGGATAATTTCTTAAACCAGGTAATAGACGGTCCTACCAGAGGGAATGTGATAGTGGACCTCTTGGTGACCAACGCAAGTGAGCTAATCGGTGACGTCAAGATGGGAGGCAGCCTGGGCTGCAGTGATTGTGCACTGGTGGAGTTCTCAGTCCTGAGGGATACGGGTCAGGTGAAGAGTAAAGTCAGGACCCTGAATTTTAGGAAAGCAAAATTCCAGCTGTTCAAGGAGTTAGTCAATAAGACGCCCTGGGAAGCTGTCCTCAGGGACAGTGGAGCAGAACAGAGCTGGCAGGTCTTTTAAGAATGCTTTCCATAGAGCACAAGAGCTCTTGATCCCCACGTGTAAGAAGTCAGGAAAGGACAGCAAGAGACCAGCATGGATGAGTCAAGACCTGCTGGTCAACCTAAAGGGCAAGAAGGAAATGCGCAGGCAGTGGAAGCAGGGACAGGTATCCTGGGACGAGTGTAGGGACATTGCCCAGTTGTGTAGGGATGGAGTCAGGAAGGCCAAGGTGCAGCTGGAGCTGAACTTGGCAAGGGACACAAAGAATAGTAAGAAGGGCTTCTATAGGTATGTGAGCCAGAAAAGGAAGGTCAAAGAGAGTGTACCCGCCCTGATGAACATGACTGGCAAACTGGTAACAAACAGACAAGGAGAAGGCTGAGGTACTCAACAACTTTTTTGCCTCAGTCTTCACTGGCAGTCTCTCTTCCCACACCTCTTGAGTGGATGGACCTCAAGGCAGGGACTGGGGGAGCAAAGTCCCTCCCACTGTTATAGAAGATCAGGTTTGAGACCACCTGAGGAACCTGAGCCTTCATAAGTCTATGGGACCTGACAAGATGCGTCCCAGAGTCCTGAGGGAATTGGCTGATATAGTTGCCACACCACTCTCCATGATATTTGAAAAGTCATTGGCAGTCAGGTGAAGTCCCTGGTGACTGGAAAAATGAAACATTGCACCCATTTTTAAAAAGGGTAGAAAGGAGGACCCTGGGAACTACTGACCTGTCAGCCTCACCTCTGTGCCTGGGAAGATCATGGAACAGATCCTCCTAGAAGCTGTGTTAAGGCACATGGAGGACAGGGAGGTAATTCGAAACAGCCAGCACGGCTTCACGGTCCTGTCTGACCAACCTAGTGGCCTTTCTGTGATGGAGGGACTGATAGAGATCAGTGACAAGTGGTGTCCCTCAGGGGTCTGTACTGGGACCAGTACTGTTTAATATCTTAATCAATGACATGGACAGTGGGATCGAGTGCACCCTCAGCAAGTCTGCAGATGACACCAAGCTGAGTGGTGCAGTTGACATGCCTGAGGGATGGGATGCCATTTAGAGGGAACTGGGCAAGCTCAAGAAGTGGGCCCATGTGAACCTCATGAAGTTCAGCAAGGCCAAGTGGAAGGTCCTGCACCTGGGTTGGGGCAACCCCTGGTATCAATACAGGCTGGGGGATGAAGGGACCTTCATGTGGCTTCTTGATATCTGAGGGAGGTACCGTGCATTTACACTGGGAGGTTGAAGCCTGGCTCTAGGAGGGCTGGTAGTGGCAGATGAATTCAGGGGAGCTGTTTTCCATCAGAGCCTGCTGTGGTGCTTAGGACCTGTGTCTTCATTATGCTTCAGCAGGGATAGAGGCTGAAGAAAATGGTGACTTCCTAGCATGCTTTTTCTCTGCAGGGGCCTTGCTCTGGTTTGTGCTCTGTATCCTGGGGCTCATAAGCCCCAGGAGCAGAAGACAGATGTATGCAATGAGTTCTGGTACTGTCTGCCTACCTCTTTCCTCTTCCCGGACAGTTCCCATGGGAGGGCTAGGAGCAATGATCACTTTGAGGCACTAATGCCAGCTAGGGCTTCACAGTGCACAGAAGGGTCTTCTTCCTGAGCTTTCTCATGGAGTTACTTTTGGGCCTTTTGCACCAGAATGAACCGTCGTTGACAGAAACAATAGCAACATTTACAGGATGCAGCAGTGAATATAAACCTGTTATGACAGCTTCTTCCCATCAGAAGGTCTTCGCATTCCCCAGTGCCGCAGTTTGGCTCTCCCCTGTTACCCAGTGCGCACTTGCAGTTTAATCAGATGCATTCATAAGGTTTATTCTGAAATCACGTGCTCTCTATTAAAAGGATGGCTTGATGGCAAGGCATATTATCACATATTGATTCCCAGAATAATCTTTGACATAGTTCATGATTCTCTGCATCTCTCTTTTCTTTTTCAGCTTTCTGCTTTCCTGAATCTGGCAGAGGACCAGAGTCAGCAAGAAGAGAGGGGGTGGAAGAAAGCACTTGAAGAGGACTGAACATTTGCACTGGTGCTGTGAGCTGCTTTGGTGGTGAAAGGTCAGCATCAAGACTGTTGACCCATGTTGGCTGTCAGTTTGGGGTGGATAATGGCACTCGGTAGTTGTGTAAATCAGAGCACTTCACCTGCCAGCTTTGGAGTTCCTTTCCTGGGAAGGCTTTGCTTAATGACTTCTGGCTGCTTTCTGGGCTGTATGAGATGTGCTGGCAAGTTGATGAGCAGCTGGAGGCCTTTTCTGAGGATGTTCAGTGGGGTAGATAAAGCAGTGGTGGTAATATTTTCATCTTACAGAGACGGAACTTGGAAAGGTCATGCTTTCAAAGGCTGGAGTTTAGCCTTGCTGGAAAACGTGGTCTTCAGTCAGTTTGCTGAAGAGAATAGGTTATTGACCCACACCTGCATTGCAGGTACCAAGGGGAGGATGTCTGCTTTGTTTGCCAAGAACTGCCTCAGGGCCAGGGTTATCTGGCCCAGCTCAGATAGACTCAGATAGCCGAACCTCGCCCTCCAGGCCAGCAGCGTGCCCCTTGGGTGTGTGAGGTGGCTGTATGGGCAGGGGGCTGACGATGTTGGACTTGCAGCCCTTTGGGAGCTGCGCTTTCATAGCAGCATAGGTGCAGTGGGATTTCCTGCAGCAAGTCTTTCTTGTGTGTGTTGGCAAAGATGTTAGAAGTTATCTAACTTCTGGCATACAAATTATCTATGAAATAGACATCACTGATACACTGGATACCAATTTTCTTGCTATCATTCAAAAATCAATAGTTAAAAATAATGATGCTTTTAATGGCCTGGGAGCTATTTCATTTGCTTTGGCATTGTTTCTTCCCTATACGTCAGATGCTGCTTTAGGGCCGGTTGTGCAGAAAAAGCCTGCAGGCCTGGCTTTCTTTGCTGCTTAATTAAGTACTATTACTGTGCAAGTTGAGGCAAATGTACCAAGCAACGTCTGCGATGACTAAATGAATGTCTAGCCAGCAGGAGTGTGTGTGTGTGCATGCCACGTGCTTTCTGAGCTGGGATGTGGGTGCGTGCCTGTATGTGCCCTTGGGCCTGCAAATAAAAATACAGTGATCTGATGTGGGATAACCAGAGCAAGTCCTGCCACTGAGATTTTAGGTGGCTCAGCACAACAAAACAGCTGTTTGTGCAGTGCTTGTGTTCCCAGGTGCTCAGCGCCTGGAACTGGAGCCAAACCACACAACTTCTGGTGCATTCCTATTGTCCGGTTTGTCCTGAGAGTTCAGTCTCAGTAGGGTGAGAGGCCAAGAAAATCAGGCCATGGAATGGTTTCACATTTGAAGTGACCCCTGCCTTGCCTAGCAGTCACGCAGTGTGTGTTTTTACCCAGCTGGGAGGTGGTTGCTTGCAGTTAGACAGGGCAGGATGAGCTCACTCTCTTTTTCTTTTTTTTTTCTTCTTTTTTTGACATTTTTATATAGGTGGGTCATCCTTTCCTTCTTGCTCTTCATGTAGGTGCTTCACTATTACTCCGTTCTCTCGTACTTCATTACTAGCATCTCGCAATCTTTGATGTATTTGAGCCAGCATGCCTTGTAAATGGTTGCCAAAATCACTTTACCAGACAGGCCTCTCATTATAAGTACAGATTTTACTAACCCCAGAAGTTACCATATACAGTATAGGCTACTGGCCAAAGCAGCCTATACTGGCAAAAACACTTTTGAGGCTGTGAAATTGTGTTGCTTTAGGGCTTTTGCCAGTACCCCAGTCACCTGGAGCCTGTCATGCCTCACAGCTGGCATTCCTCTGTCAGCAGGGGTTCTCAGTGCTGATCCTTACAACATCACTGGGTTTAGAGAAAGATGAGGTTCCTGCACTGGGGAGGAAGAGCAGAGGCAAGGGACAGACTAAGGGACTTGCCCAAGGCCATGCACAAAGTCTGTGTCAGAGTGGAGAACTGGATTCAAGGTGTTCAACTCCCAGTTTCTTGAATTAATCTTCAAACTGGTATCCCTCCCTTTCATGTGCAGGTTCTGTCACACTGTTTGTCCTTGTTTTTTCCTCCCATCTTTGTGCATTTTGTTATAGTTGGAGCATTATTTCTCCTTGTCCCTTACATTGCAGTGTGTGTGGGCACAGTAGGAACCTGTTGTTGATTTCTGGTGAATTACATAAAAATACCTCTCTTCATTGTGTGACTAGATGTCACAGCCTGTATCCCATGATCGCTTGCTTAAATTTAACTTGCTGATGAAGCTACTGTCTATTTGACTGGACCAACTGAACTTCATTATGGAAGTGCTTTTGGTCTTCTAACCACTTTTTCAGTTAGCAAAGCGCTTCTCATTATGAAGCTCATGTCTAATTAATATGTTTTTATGCATTTGTAAATACAGCCCTGTGGCATAGCTCACCATTTTCTGTCCACTGGAGAGCTCGTTCATAATTATCAATGTGATTCAGAATAGACCTTTGCCTCAGTGTTTTAAAATAGAATATAAGCGTGTGTGTTAATTAATGTTGCTTCTTCTTGTCTGGTTTCAGGAGTGATTCATGTCACTTCTGAGGGTCTGTTATAAAGATGACTGAAGCCAAGAGACCCTGGTTATGTCAGTGAATTCAGGATGAGGTCCCCCATGTTCATCCCGGTCCTGTGGTGCTGATCAACACCTCTGCTTTTTGGGACCATGAGGCTCAGAGCCCGAAGTCACCCTTAGCCTGCGAGGCAGATTGTGGCTCACCTCTCCACTGCCTGGGCTCCTTGGGAAAGGCATTTCACCAGCGTCTCCTGCCCTCACTTGCTTTCCCTGAAGACCAGGGTAGCACCCTAAAGCCTGACCCAGTCTTTGCAGGTGACAGGAGGTGGCAGGCTACCCTGTGTGACGCAAGGAGCACAAACACATGACTTCCAAAAAGAGGGTCTGGAGAGAGCTGCCTTTCCCTGAATAGCTTGCTGGGTGAGTCATTAAGCGTGCAGAGGCAGCCAGTGCCATCAGCTCTGCTCCTGGCTAGGAAGGATAGATCAAACAGGAGACAGCCCTGATTGCTTTCTGATTCATGGCCTGCCATCCCTGCGTGAATCACTGTGCTTTATAAACCTGCAGCTGTTCCCTGCCAGCTTTCTGGAAACAGACAGATCCTCTCTTCCCAGCGGCGAAGCTGAGCTGCCTAAAAGGCCTGTACATGGTGCTTGGTGGAGCAGGACCTGCAGTCTCGAGGGGAATTTCAGGCTGTTGTCTGAGTGCAAGTACGGTCTGAGCTGTGAGTCTGCCCAGTCCTCACCCAGAACAAGATGCAGCTCGGTCCGGGATTTCTGAGCTCTCAGATCAGAAGGAGGGACAAGTTAACATCCTTCACTAGGACCCAGCATCTGCTATATGGGGATACATGGAAACACCTGTAGTGGCTTTTTTTTGGCGGGGGACATACTTTCAGGGGAAGGGGGAAAGGTTCCTGAAATCTTCTGGAGCAAGAGGGGAACTGGGCCAAGGAGCCAGCCCAAGGACAGTAAGCATTGTTACTGTCCCCTGGCTGTCAGTGATAGGAACCAGGGTCAGTCTCAGCAAACCTGCCATGCATTTTCCTCTACATACAGCCCTGATGTTAGAACGGGTGGGCCAGAAGCCAAGTGGAGCCCTTAGAGTCTGTTACTGGAGGGCATCTCTCAGGTCTGGGCTGTTTTGGGTTGTGCAGGCGTGTGTGGCTGTGGGAGCCTGCCTTGCTGCTGCCGTTCCTGTTCTGTGGCTAAATGAAGCCTCTGGGAGCTGTAAATCTGTCACGTTCCATGAACGTTGCATTCATGGGGCGTCTTCTCATTGAGAATTTACAAGTCTGTTCGGTGCATACGGTACTACTAGCATCCATTCCTCCCCATTGCCCCGGGCCTTTTTGTGCTGCAACATGGTAATTAATCTGAGCATTGCTGGAGGTTCTGATCTCTTCTGAAGATAACTCTGAAGAGTTATTCTCCTTGATATATGCCACCATCTCAGAGCTGCTCCCTTTGCCAGTGAAACAGCCTTCTGCTGCCAACTGTTGTTGCCATATGTTATTTTAGAGAAAAATGTGTCCTTGTGAAATGGTGACGGGGGACAGGCATGGGTGGGACTGCTGGCACGTTCTCACCCTTGCCTTCCCTGTTGGCTTCATTTATTAGTTTCTAAATCACAGGCCTGGCTGGGGTTTTTGAGTGGGCTGGCATGAAGCAAAAGGAAACAGTTCCCTGCAAATAAAATACAATTATGCTGCAGAATGGGCAGCTGGTGTTCCCAGCCTTGGTTCATCTGGCTCTAAAGGCAGATGTTAGCAATGTAGCTGCAGAGAGAATACTGCCTGACTGACCCAACCTGATAGCCACTTGATGTCCAGCCAGGCTGTGTGTACCCATTGCTCACTTTCTTTACTGTCAGGTGTTTTGCAGTAGGATTGCCAAGGTAGATGAGTGTCTGTACCACATGGCTGGGTTGCAGCTGCAGTGGGTCCCCAGAGGAAGCTCACGTCACTTGTGGGAAGAAGTTTTGTCATCTAAGCGAGCATGAACTCCATGCTTCTGGAAGAGGGGAGAGGCTGTTTGCCTGCCTACTTCCAGGGAAATTGCTGCTTTAGGAAAGCATTTTGCTCTGATATGGGTGCAAGATTTTTTGCATCATTCTCCACTGGCTGGTAGGGGAGGAAAGCGTTGGTTTTTTTAATTGAATGCAGGAGAGGTGGTGTGGATTTGGTTGCACTTCTGCAAACTGCCTCGTGCAGGTGATGCTGGCGGTGATGCTCTGGGCAGCGCCTTTGTCCTGTCTGCCTGGTCAGGCCGTGGTGGCAATATTTTTTTCAAGAGGTTCAGACCTTCTGGCATCAACAGGAGGCAGTGAAGTGACATGGAGCTGCACTTGCTGCAGACCTACTTCTGAGAAACCTGCTCAAGAGTGTAGCACATCTGTAACACTGCACTGGGACTGACCCACAATGAACTCACATTCGTTATATATCTGCAATGGTGTTTTATGCTGTCAGATCATCTGAAGCCAATGGTTATGTTTCTTCCTCGTAGTAGCTGGGACAGCTGCCTTAGGAAACAGCTGGCCAGTGAGAAGGGCCATGAGAAATAAGCAGAGTGAAGAAGAGAATTAATTACTCCAACATATTGCTGGGGTTCAAAAAGGATAGGGCCTTTGAGTGGATAACAAGTACGTTCCCAGTTACAGTTGTAAAGATTAAAAATACCCCAAACTTAGAGAGGGATCTATTTAAGGCAGTTGTAACTAATACCAGTGAGGAAAGAATATTCTTTGGAGACAGATTATTCCGTAAATGTCAAAGACAGAGGTTTCTGTTGCTATCTGCAGAAGCAGCAGTTAACAGTCTGCAGTCAGGAGCTAGATACTGGGATTTTCTGGATAACAAGTCTGGGATTTCATTTATTTCAGTTTAAATAGGAAGAAGTGAGCATGAACTATACTGAAGTTTCCTCATCATAACATTGGTCACAATTCATGGTTTTGGCTTGACCTCTCGCACAACGCTAGGTCTAATCCCTCCACTGCAAGTATTGATCTAAAGGAAAATGAGTCTCCAGCAGTGACAGCAGGATGGGGAGAGAGAGAAGGAGGATTAAGGCAGTACAGGAAGGCCACATGCTGGTACCATCTGCCTCCCTTTCACACTGTGCGAGGTCTCGTGCTGTGTAGGTCACCCAAATGGATACAAGAGCTCTTTATCTAAGCCAGCAGTGTCTGGCATCCCTGAAGTCAGTTGAATCGCTTGCTCACTGGCTTACTTCAGCAAAAGGTTGGCAGTGTGAATTCTTGCAGGAGGAGACTAGTAATGCTGGACTTTTGGGAGAAAGGGTGTGATGACTGATTGACTCAAGCTTTTCTGATTTTTTTTTTTTTCCCCAGGAACTTGCTGAGCCAGAAAGATGCGCGAGTATACGGAAAAGAAGGAAACATGTGGGACCATCTGTCTCAAGTACCTGCTCTTCATCTTCAACTTCTTTTTCTGGGTAAGAAACTTCAGTCTATTTCAGAGGCACTGAGGTGGCACTGCAGTTTTGTTGTCAGGGGCGCAGAAATCTTGGGCTTGATGAAGTCTTTGGCAAAAAGCACTCACATCAGTAGGACACATATTTTGTCCTGTGGGGTGAAATCCCATCCCTTGGGCTTGCCTGCCCAGGCTGCAGAAGTGATGGTTTCACTCTGTAGTCTCTAGCTGTTTCTAGGTCATGTTACCAAGTATAGAAAATAACAGGGAGCCTGAAAGCATGCTTTGTTTTTTCACCTGGCTTGCTTTTTCAGGGAGCCTGAGGACTCCACTGTCTTGCCATTCCTCCTCTCAAAATGGCAGAGGGAGCCCTGGCAGTGGAGTGGGACAGGCAGAGCAAGGATAACAAACACTTTCTTGCAGCTGGGTCCACACGAGAGCTTCCTAGAGTTGTGCTTTCCACCAGAAAGTTACTGATGCCAAAGGATTGTTTTTTTCCTTTGCTGGCTGGGACAGAGCATTGGAGTGTCCAGGTCAGACCTTTAAGGAAAACTGTCTGAGCTTACTAGAAGCTGCATAAAACCCTCCAGAAACACAAGGCTTGCAAAGAGAGAAGGGACTGCTAGGAGTCTGGTTGGCTTCTCCATGTTTATTTGCTGCAAGGGTTAGAGTTTAACCAGCCAGGCTGTTTAGATCCTTGACTGTTTTCTCCCCAGATGTATAGTCTAGGAAGGAGATATTTGGCATGGTTGTCATTTATTGGTAGTATTGCTCCCTGACAAATAGTGGAAAGCTTGCTGATGTAAAGCTGTTGTCTTCCCCTCTGCAGCTAGGTAGCGCCCCAATAGATTTTTTCATATTTGCCCAGATAACAGCGTGGCTACGTTTGGGAAGGCTCTGGTCCAAGTAGGAATTGCTGTGCACAGGTAGATGTTTCAGATAGCTTGCATCTCAGGCTGCCTGGGGTGCTAAACTGGCCGCCTTGAAGCCCAGCACCTCCCAGTGACCTCTGGGGGTCCTTCCTTTAATGTAGATCATCTTTAGCTCAGCTTACGGAGCTGAGGCATGTCCTGGTATCCCAGTCCAGTTGCTCTGGGAGGTGAGGGAGTTCACACATTAGATGCCCTTCATTTGCTTGCTTCTCTCTCTACCCAGCTGGCTGGCGGGGCTGTGATGGCAGTGGGCACCTGGACCCTAGCTGAGAAGAGTGACTACATCAGCCTGCTCTCTTCCAGCACGTATTCGGCAACTGCTTATATTCTGGTGGTGGCTGGGGTGGTTGTCATGGTTACTGGCATCCTTGGTTGCTGTGCC